AGTGTTATAATCTCATAATTGGCATACGTTTTTTACCTAATATTTCATTACTGGGGCATTTGCAATTTCCTTTTGAAGTCAGGCCTTTGGGGCAAGTAATACAATTCCATCCATCTTGAGTAACTCCACTCTAAAATAAAATATAAAATTATTAGAATTTTCAAAAGTATAGAGATCACCCAGTATCTGTGAAGAATGCCTTATCCAGCCTTTAATTACTAGAAAATGTGTTCAGATAAAACATCGATAACATTCATGAAGCTTTTAAAGATAAAAAAAGGCTAAACAATCTGGCAAAAGCAATTTCTAGCAGACACACAAAAAAAGTTAAGCTCTTCCAAACCTGTCAGCTTACATCCTTCAGGAAAAATGAAAAGTAGAATGTTTAAAAAGAGGTAAAGAATAAACATAATAATGCATAAACAAACATTTTGCATATAAATTGAATATTGCAAATGCATATAAATACACAGAAGTAATGGAAATGGAAGAGTTCTAAGTGAAGCAGCTTTTATAATTGTTTGGAATTTTGTACCTACCCAGACAGTTCACATCTACACTTATTTTACACTATGAAGTAAATGCATTACAGATAAAAACCACGGAGGAAGTTGAAGGATGAACTCTCATCCTCAAGTGCTACTGATGTTACTCCCTTCTCCACTATGATCACTTTACCTTTGCAAAAGCCTTGGCAGTAGATCAAAGGCAAATGCCACCCTTGCAGGAAAGAGGAAAAACCAGCAAAAGATCACAACATGAAAGGGTATGTGCCAAAGTCTTTGTCTAACACAGCAAGAAGATGGAAAGAAAAGGGAAATTACCTACTAAGCCCATTAGCCACTGAACACCTAACTCAGTCAAGTAAGCTGCTCTCCTGAGAGTTTTTCTATAGCTATTGAAGAGAAAGAAGTATTCAGGAAGGCTTCACTCTCAAGAGTTGATTTGATGGAAAAATACATTTTTTTGCTTGCTACAGTGGGAAAAATCTGGTTTAGCCTGGTGTCTCTGGATCAATGCTGAGATTGTGACACAAAATTGTAATTTAATTTGTCAAGGAAGGTCAGAAGAACTGATCAAACTATAAATATAATTAAAGTAACGTAGTAGGAGCAGCTCATTTTGAAGCAAGAAGATGAAATATTGTGGATTTTGAAGACACAGCCTAAATATTACAATATTTAATAGTATTTCCATAAATAATTAATATATAAATTAAGATATCTTTGAGCTGAAAAGCATCTTCAGCATTGTACAGTTGTGCTCTCTGGACAAGGTCAAAGCAGAGAAGATAAGGAGTGGAAGGAACTTAAACACTTAAAAAATTCTTATTTTGTCTGTGGGGTCAAATTTGTAATGAAAAAAGCAAAATAATAGAAATAGACAACTCTAAATTGGAAAAAAATACTGCATGTAAGCAGGGTCTTAAAATTACCAATCAAAGACTATTACACAAAAATATTTTAAATTAATGAAAAGTAACTTGCAGTCAGGATAAAATTTAAAATTGGAAAACCCATAATGGTTATGATTAGTATTCTATTATTGTGGCAAACATGAAACATTAAATACTTACCATATTTTCTGGGCATTTTTCACAAGTAACAGAGAACCCATCATTACTAGAAACCATCCTGTATCCTGGCTCACATTCACAGGAACTGCCTGAAGAAAAAAAACCAAATGCACTTTTAATCCATATAGAACTGACTGGTTGTAACAGAATACTAAGAACAATTACTATTGTTCTCAAGAGATCAAGATGGATTATTAGATAGACACATAAAATACTTGAGTGAGAGGTGAATGAAAATAATCTTTTTAAAGAATGCCCATGCTACAGTTTGCACACAGATGTTTTAGGAGAATGTTACAAGGCTGACCTGCCAGGGTGGAACAGAGACACAGAGCTTGTATTTTGTGGGGTTTTCAATTAAACCAAATTTTACCTGTTGGTCTGTAATAATCTCTCCATCTAAATCTTGCCACAGCCTTTCCTCTCTACAACACCAGTATTAAATGTTTGTATACAGTTTTTATTTTTTCAATTTGAAGTCAGTCCTAAAACCAAAATGTGTTCCTATGAAAAGGTTTTTCAAAATATAACTGTTGTATGAAAAGTTGTTTTAAACTCAAGGCTTTAAAAATCGTGCATGGGGACCAAGGTTTATATTGAATGGTTTTCAGTGACTGAACACAATATACTTAACATTTCGTACAAAATTAAACACTATTTTTATGGCATAGTATAACGCCCACCTGCTAGTGCTCAACAACCATTTTTTTTAGAAACTTTTCCTGTCTCAGTGTCATGAATTTCTCTCTCTACTTTTAAACACATACCACAAACTGAAATTGATTACATCTACTAATAAACTGTTTTTATCGTTTAAGCTTATTGACCTATGCAGGCAAAAATAATGTGAAATTCTGTAGAAAGTTTTATAACTTTAAAGTACATTCTAACGAGACCAACTGTACAGAAACATTTGTCAAAGTGATCAAACACTTCTACTTAATTCTAAAGAAGAAAAAGCCCACTTGATTAGATCAATTAAAAGTTTGAGTTGTGACACTCACAGTGACAATACCTGGATTTTTAGGCATATCACCTGAAAGCAGAATCCAGGCTGATGAGCTAGCCATGGAATGTATAGGCAATCACAAGTGGAATTCAGCCAAGATGCAAACAGCACTGAGCAGTACCTACCTACACTGCTCCAGTCAGATCTGCAGGAAAAAATAAACCCTTGACCTCCCCTTGGAATTTTCCTCTCCTTGAAGCCCTTTATTTAGAGGAAGGTTCAGCCTAAAAAGGAGCTGTGGATCTAGACACCCACATTATCAGGAGATCTGAAAACAAATAGTGTATTTTTTTGCAGTAAGTGAACTGTGGGATTAGTCTTTAGGGCAGCATGGTGGTGGTGAAGGTGAGCAGCTTTCACTCAGCAGCTGTGGACGGAGCCCTGCACATCACTGCTTCCCACTGCAGTACCAGCTCTGGAGAGAGATGTTCGTGGGTCTTAAGTCTCAAATCACACACACCAGGGAACTCCCACTCTTGTTGGACTGTGTATTTTATGAAAGATGAATCCTTTAATAACTCTTTATGCCCTAAAGAAAGTAGCCAACGGTCTGTATTTCCCATTTAGCACTGTCAGGCTGTGCTGTATCTGCTGCAAGGTCCCGTGTGGGACTTGGACTAGCAGAGGCACAGCCTGAGGATCTGACACTTGGTATCTCAGACATTCAGGTCTGACTAGGAGTTCCTAGTTACAGAAGTGTTCGAGAACATAAATTCAGGGTCCTGTAGAATTTTACAGATGAACAATGCAAATACAATATAATGCCTGAGGTAAAAAAGGTTATTAGAAAAAGGCTGAACGTCATTTCTCTGAGCTGTATCTCCGATACATCACAGCTGTGCTGGGGCCTCTCAGGGATCCTGGCCCTTTCGCGGCTTTCCCAGACCTGTTTCAGGCTGCGGCTGTTTTACCGCCACAGCCCGAGCCCGAGTGCGCAGCTCCCGCTGCTGGCGGCGGATTCAGCGCGGAGCCGCCCGAGCCCCGCCTCCCCCATCGCTCACCGCCGGCGCTCTGCCGCTCGTGGGCCCCGCAGGGCGCGCAGGCCAGGCGGGAGCTGTCGAAGTAGTGGTCGGCGCCGCAGTCGGCGGGGCGCTGGAGCGGGAGGGAGAAGCCGCGGGCGGGGGGCAGCGCCGCCGACACCGCCATGAGCAGCGCGGCGGCGGCCATGGCCCCGCGGCCCCGCGTCGCCATGGCCACCGCGCGCCCGCCCGCGCGCGCCGATTGGCCAGAGCCGCGCGTACGGCGAGCGCCGGGGGCCCGCCGCCGCAACACGCGAAGCGTCCGCGGGGCGCGGCAGCCCGAGTTTATGTGCTTGGTCTAATCAGAGTTTTGTTCGTCTTGTGCGAGACCAGGAGCGAGAAACGAGGGGACACCGAGGCCTGGTTTGCACTTTCCGGTACCTCGTCTCTAGAATTAGTGCACAGTGTATCATCCCAATGGAACACGTGTTTGTAATTGAAGTGGTAACTAGGTGAAAACACAAAATGCCTAGAGCAATGGATGCTCAGCCAGTGTTACTCCCCGTACCTTTTACACAACTCTTGTTCATATCCCACAGAAGCACAGAATGAGTCCGGCTGGAAAGGACCACAGAGGGCCATCTGGTGCAACCTCCCTGCTCAAGCAGCGCCATCACAGAGCACATGGCACAGCACTGCCACCCGAGTTCTTGAATATCTCCAGTGAGAGAGACTCCACAGCCTCTCTGAGCAGCCTGTTCCAGTGCACCTGCACAGGAAAGTTCTTCATGCTCAGGTGGAACCTTCTGTGCATGTTTCTGCCTGTTGCCTTTTGTCTCACTCCCTCAGATGTTACCAAAACTTTGCAAGACACTGTGTCCCAGATTTTAGTTATTTCTCATTGTCCCTCTCCTGCGTGCTAATTGCCTAACTATTATGATTTTCGACATTAGCATGTTTTATTTCTCATTGGCTTTATTGGTTGGCTCAACAACTGTTAAAAGGTTTAGTTTATGTTTTCAAGTCGAATTACCTGTCTCCAGGCTCACGTTCATTTCTCATTGGCTTTATTGGTTGGCTCAACAACTGTTAAAAGGTTTAGTTTATGACCTGTCTCCAGGCTCACGTTAATGTAAATTCGACCGTGTAAAGATGCAACTTTTTACGCCACAGTCACACCGATCTGTCCCTGCACAGATCCATCAGTATACAGCCACAGTCACACCGATCTGTCACTGCACAGCTGCCTCAGGTCTACTCTGACGGAGACCGCACACGCGCCTCCAAGGCACAAAGCGCATGCGCACTGCCTGCAGCGAGGCTTTCACGCGCGCGCCGATGGGGCGCGTGGTCTGCGCACGCTCGCTGCAGCGGAGGGTGGCGGGCGGAGTCGACCCGCCGGGAGGGTGCGTGCGCAGGTCCGCGCTCGCGCAGCGCAGCTTCCCCTCAGCGTTGGGGGGGGCAGTGGAGGCGGCGCCATCTTGGCGAAGCCGTGCCGGGAGCTGCGGCGCTCGTCCGAGCGGCGTGTCCGGTGGGTGCGTGGATGGATGGCGTGAGGGACACGGCACGCCTCTCCGGGGTGCGGCGTGTGGCCGAGGGCGGCGCGGAGTCTGCCGGTTCTCGGTTACCCGACCCTCGCGGAACCGCTGCGCGGCCGCTCCGTGTGCCCCGGCCTTCTCGTGTCCCTGGGCTTCCCACCCCACTTCCCCGCTCCCGGTGCTTCCCTCAGCCCTGTCCCGGTGTCGGGAACCAGACGGGCTTCTTCGTGGGGGCGCAGCACCGGCGGCTCTGGCGGGCCGCGGCGCATGGCGCGGGGCGGCCTCCCCTCGCCCCGTCCCCTGCCCTGCCGCCCGCGGCGCGTCTCTCCAGCAGCGCTGGGGCCGGCGGGGCGACGTGCTCGGAAGCGGTTCCGTGCTACATTCGACCGTGTAGCGGGACCAGCTGCAGAGCTCACTCATGTTTTTCTTCAGCACTGTGCAAACTGCTATTCGCAGCAGCCTGCTTCCTCTGTTAAGGCTGATTTTTATTCTATACTGGTTCATTATCGTAGACGGGGTGTTTCTGTGGGTGTTCTTTCTAGCTTGCAGTCTGTGTAATCTTTCAGTGTTATGATAAAAATCCTAGTCTAGTGCAGACTTAGTTTCCTACCGCGTTTACAAGTTGTGGATTATTTTAATGACTTTAATGTTTGGAATTTCCTGAGACTGGAAGAATAGGTATTGTACTGTTTTCTAGCCAATTTTGCTCATATATAAACATAAAATTGTACACTTCTGTGCTTTTAAGCTGTGGCATGAAGTTGTTTATTCTCCAAATCCTTGCTCTCTGAAGTCCTTGTTCAGTTAATGAATTGCTCTTTTCATGACAAGTCAACTCTTTTTGGTTATGCACTTTCAATTTGGATGGCTTGTCTGTGCTCTCTACCCGTGTGTGATGGTAACAGTAAGAGCTGTTATTTGAACTTGAATTTGTTTATGGACTTCTTAGAGATCCTGTTATGTTCTGGAACCACTGGTCTGGTTTTCACCACTGAAGGTTGTGTATTGTATCCCTGGTGCATCCTGGAGAACTTGCTGTTTATCACCGAAGAATTATGGAGGAGAGCTGTTGTGAATGATGTTTAAAAATTGGGATAAGAAAGCGGAGTTGTGAATCCAGAAGTACTACAGATTAAATACATCGTGAAGTAGCAGGGCAGCGGATTTGCTTTTTCAAGACATGAAGGTGCTGTATGAAAATTCTGCCCTTGAATTCTCCATGCTTTTTGGCACTGTCATTGCATCTGTTGAGAAGACACGTTGTAAAGTGTTCTGGGTCTGGCTGGGATGGAGTTAACGTTCTTCACAGCAGCCCATACAGTTCAGTTTGGATTTGTGGCTAAAAGAATGTTGACAACACATCGGTGTTTTGGCTGTGGCCGAACAGCACTTGCACAGTATCAAGGCTTTATCAATTTCCCCTACTCTGTTCCTACAGTGAGTGTGCTCAGAGTAGGTGAGAAGCTGGGAGGGAACATGGCTGGGACAGCTGACCCAAACTCACCAAAGGGATATTCTCTGACATGTAACGTCATGCTGGGCAACAAAAACTGAGGTAGAGGAAGAAGTATTTTAATGGTTTTGGTTTCTTTGGGAGGATTTTTTCTTGGCTCCCAAGGCAGTTGTTGTTTGGAGGAAGGCTGGACATCAGTCAGCCTGTGGGACGTGGTGAGTGATTTCCTTTGTTTTGTGTTTTTCTTTCCACTGATGAAACTGTCTTTATCTTGACCCACAAGCTTTCTCGACTTTGTTCTTTCCCATCCCACTGATGGGGACAAGGAGTGAACAATCAGCTGTGTGGGTGCCTGGCTGCTGGCTGGGGTCGACTCACCACAAAAGTACAGAGAACAGATGGTCTTTAGTGAAGTTTCTAAATGGGCAGTTGTTTTCTGTTGTGCTTATGGAGTACTGGTGCAGAAGTGACGTGGAGTCCGTTGGTGACAGAATTTGGGCTTTGCTCTTGTTCAGGTGGAGTGACAGTAATGGTTATTGGTAGGTAACTCATCATCAGGATCTAGTGCTTTACAGAGCAAAGGTTGTTGAAGGAGTGTTTGCAGATGCTCGGAGCATTGGGCTGTTGTGTTTTAAAGGAATGCTGTCATTTGCTACAGAGGCTTGTGTTTGTTCTGAGAATATTATTCTGTTTATTGTGTGATGTTAGAAAATGTTGAAAATCAGGGTATGTTAAGTCAGTGTATTCAAGGTTTTCTTGTTCTTATGTTTGAAAGGCAGTAGAGTAAGGATTTAGGGAAAATGCTGAAGTTGGCTTTGTAAATTCAGGGACTTTCTGAGGTTTCTCTGTGTTGGATATTTTTGCTCTTTCATGATGGGCTTCACTGTGTATGTTAAGTGCAGTGCTGGACTGGTGAGTAGCATACTCTTGGAAAGTTTGAAACCAGGTGGATTTCAGAAGAATGGACATCGTGTAATCCTCAGATGGACCTAAGCACCTTTCAAGAACTCAGTTGAGAACTGTTCCCTCGATACACTGTCAGTCTGTTTCATTGCATCAGTTCAGTGTGGCACAATCGATGACCAAGTAATCTCATCGTATTTTCATCATTTCCAGAAGTCAACTTAAATTTTGAATTTCTTTTGCTTCTAAAATGGAAAGAGAAAGATGCGGTGCATGGCATCTTGGAACATGGAAGGAGTTCTTCACATGGGTTCATAACATGCTTGGCTTTAGTATTAGCCACTGCTATGGACAGGCTGCAGCAGTGTAGCACAGTGTGTAAAGCAAAGTACAGGTATCAGCCATTAATTATGTTTCATTTTCTTTCCACAGTTAAGTTGATTTTACAGAATTTATCAGGTCTCCAAAGCAGAAACAGGTAAGCTGTCAAAAGCTTAACACTTCTCACTGAGTATTGTGACAAGATCATACACAGCCTTTTTTCCTCACAAACTTGTGGCTGGCAACTAGGATATGCTTGTGGCCACTGCAGTTAATACTCTGACTACACCAAAGAGACAACATTTTTGAATGCTGAGAAAACACACATTACTGAACAGAACTGATCACTGGGTAGAGCAACTTGTCAAAGCAGTAAAGTCATCACTGTTTGTGAGTTACTTCATTTTCCAGTGACATAGTTATTCTTTTTCCTTTCTCCTTTTATCAATTAGTGTCCTGTTCAAAAGTAAACTGGATTTTTTTGTTCCTTAGGAGTGGGCAGAGATCTCTGGCACATAGTAACTATGCCGTGAAAGATTTGAGGTGCTCTTTAGGTATTGTGGATGGTGAGGAGTGACTTAGGTGGATTTTGTTGCCCTTAGGGTAGGGAATATTGAGAGATTTGTGCACGAGTGCCGGTGGAGTAGCTAATTGTTCTGACTAATCAACATTCAGTGAATTGTTTTAATCTTGTTCTCGTGAACTTGTGGGTTTTTTGATACCTTCTCTCTTGATGAGACAAGGGCATTCATTAAAAAGGCTCTAGCTTCTTAAGTGATAAGATACTGTAATAGCTGAGTACTAAAGACGTGCTATCATGTGTACCTTTTTGTCTGCAGGTGATTTTTGCTGTGGGTTGAGCTCAGCATGGCTGTAGTCATCCGTTTACAGGGGCTTCCTGTTGTTGCGGGTCCTCCAGATATTCGTCGTTTCTTCTTGGGATTGAATATTCCCGATGGAGGTGTGCATATTATTGGAGGAGAGATTGGGGAGGCTTTTATTATATTTGCAACAGATGAAGATGCACGGCGTGCCATGAGCTGTTCGGGAGGGTTTATCAAGGACTCGCGCATAGAGCTCTTTCTCAGCAGCAAGGCAGAGATGCAGAGTACCATAGAAATGAGCCGGAAACGATTTGACCGTGGGGGACGAGAAACTATGTCTGGCTCTAGAAGAACAGGTACTAATGGTTCTAGTACATCAAGTGTTGGAGATATACCACATTTAGTTACAGCTTCTCCAAAAGGAGTAAGAAAACCTAGTTATGGGCCACCAAATCGCCTGGAGGCTGGTTTCCACACCAACGGCACAAGATACGGTGATATGGGTATACCTAAGTCAAACTATCAGTTAAGAAAGGATTCCCACCTGTTTAACCCGGATGATCGTTACTTATTTCTACGTGGTATACCTTACTCTGCAACAGAAGTTGAAGTACGTGCTTTCCTTTCGGGGATGCGTGTGGATGGAGTGATTCTGATAAAGCACCGCAATGGTTTAAACAATGGTGATTGCTTGGTAAAATGTGCTACACCTGGTGATGCCTTAGAAGGACTTAAACGTCATAGACAATACATGGGTCAGAGGTTTATAGAAATTAGTCCCACTACAGAGGAACGGTGGATTGAATGCGGTGGGCGGATAGACATGCCAGATGAAATGGATCACTTTTTGTGTGAAGACCATTCTCCAAGAAGTTCAGGCTACATGCATTCAAGGAAGCATTCTCGTTCAAGATCACCAAGGAGACAAAGAACACATTCTCGTTCATCTCCTGGCCAGGAATATTACATACACTTAAGAAATCTGTCTTTTAATGTGGAAAAGAGAGATTTGAGAGATTTTTTTCCTGAACTGGATATACACAGCAAACAGATCAAGATTCTAACAGATAAGCATCAGAAAAGGACTAGAGATGCCTTTGTGGTGTTAAGGAGTGAGAGAGAATATCAGGCTGCTTTGGAATGTCATAGAAAGGTTCTTCTCAATCGTCCTGTGTACATTTTTCCAATTTCAAGAAAGTCAATGTTGAAAATAATTGACTCTTGTGAGAGGAAAAGATCACCGGACAGAGATCATTTTGGACAGGCCATATCAGAAAAAAGTTACCGGGAAGGTCATTCCAGCCCTAAGAATTGTGTTTATGTAAGGAATTTTCCATTTGATGTGTCAAAAATTGAAGTGCAGAAGTTCTTTTCAAGATTTGATATTGATGAAGATGATATTTACTTGCTCTATGATGAAAAAGGAGTTGGACTGGGAGAAGCACTAGTGAAGTTTAAATCCGAAGAACAAGCTATGAAAGCAGAAAATTTAAACCGTCAAACATTTTTGGGAACAGAAGTCTTAATAAGACTTATATCTCAAGATCAGATGCAGAAGTTTGGTGTTGCTGCATCATTATCTGCACCAAATGAAATGCATGGTCATTCACATCCATATGACAGAGGTGACCTCTCCCGTCCAGTTGGTTCACCATCTGGGCCACCACAAGGGCCACCCATGCATTCTTTTGGTCCCCCTGGGAACTTCAGGCATCATTCTGAATTTAGACATCCCCCTGAGGACTTCATGTGCCCTCCTAAGGATTTTAGGGGTCCACCACCCCTCATGGATTTTGGTGGTGACAGTGAACCTTTTGGCAGAATGGAGTTTGGGAATAATAAAATGGGAAATTTTCCTGAAGGAAGATTTATGCCAGATCCAAATTTCAGTGGTGGTTCTGAACGTGTTGTTCCTATTCTGTTGAAAAATTTACCTTTTAAAGCTACTCCTAATGAGATTCTGGATTTTTTCTATGGCTATAGAGTGATACCGGAGTCAGTTTCTGTGCAGTACAATGAACAAGGATTACCTTCTGGTGATGCCATTGTTGCTATGACAAACTATGAGGAAGCTATGGCTGCTATTAATGAACTGAATGATAGGCCCATTGGTCCACGGAAAGTTAAGTTAAGTTTGCTGTAAAGGAGGAAAAGATGCTCTAATAACACATTCTAGGTTTGCCAGTATTGACAGTTATTTTAACTTTTAATTACTGGAAGATGCAAAACAAAGTTTCCATCAACGGTTGTAAATAATACCCAGTTCAGTTGTTTAGCTCTTGGTTGAAATACCTGTAGGACATTGACTGTCATACATAAGGTATAAAAGGATGGAGTTGTAATGCTTTGGGGTTTTTTTTAAGATTAATTCCAGTCTTATGTCTTTGCATCAAATAAAAACATAAGTGCTGGCTGACCAGCACAAACGGTTGACTAGCTGACCACACAAACGGTTCAAATAGAAGATTTTCAGTGCTACCTGCATTAGTAAATGACACTTCTTACTGAGGTTAGCTTAATAAAATTTTGAAATTACTGATTTTTTTTTTTTTGGTTTCCTTTTGTGCAAACTTTTCAGGTTTTATTCGGTTTCATATGTTTGCAGGCATTCCTGTTTTAAGAGCTTGCTGTTCTCATTAGCTGGCTTTGCAACTTTTTTAAAATAAAAAGGAAATTGCCATTTAAATGTGTGTCTTATCTTTAAAACTTGTATAGTTAATGATCTCAATTATTATGCTCTGCAGATCTGGGTCTTGGTGAGAATGATGCTGGCTGCTTCATCTGGAAAGAGTCAACTGGTAGTTTGTCAACACAGCAAAGGATGGGTAGTTGACAGAGATTGCAGGGGCTGTTTTCATCAGTTAGGCTTTTTTCTCACTGTAGTACCTTGAGGCAGAAAATCAATGTTGGAATTAGATCAAGAATTCTGACTTCAGTGGTTTTGTTTTATCTTCACATGCTGCGTAATATGAATACTAACTGGCTAATGATGCCTGGATGTATTCCAGGTCAATCTGTGATTAGTTTTAACTAACTTCTGTCACTGGCAACCAAGCTGACAACTGTTATTTTCTTACGTAATAAAATAAATGCTTATGTCAGCATTTATAACTTGTTGTTTTCATTGTTTTATTACCAGCATGTTTAAATTTTAGGAAGAAATAAAAGCTTGGAAAAGCTGTGTCTTCAAAATTAAGGCTTAGTAGGAAACTTACTGTGTGGGCAAGGACTTTCATTGACATTACAGCTGTGCAATACACTATCTGTAGTACCAAAGGATTAAGTCTCAGTCCCCTCAAACTGAGACAAGAAAGTTGCACCCTGGCAGTGAAAACTTCTAACCTTTGCTTGTTCAATAACCAGAATTCCTGAATTCATGGAGAAGGGAAGTCTCTATTCCAGTTCCCTCCTCAAAGCAAGTTTTGGCTCAAATGGGCTACTCAAGGCCTTGTCTATTGCCTCTATAATAGCTTTAAGGACAGAGCTGTCCAGGCAGCCTTTCTGCAGAATGGTCCCCCCTCACTGGTGGTCAAACCTTTATTACTTTATGTGAAGTCATCATTGTGGTTGCAGAACTTCCATGCCAACTGTTTGGTACAAGAAAACAAATGAAATTTTTTGTTCTGTAATATTTAAAAGGTTAGTGTAGCTTTATTCTTCTGCACATTATTTATTCTGTATTTTAACTGCCAAGAAGAAAGCTTTTTGAATGATAATGCAAGGTTTGCATATGTAGATTCCTCTGAGCAAAGAAACGTAATGGCCAGGTTTTCAAATCTGAACGCATACTGGTTTTTGCTTTCTGGTAGGAATTAGCTTCAGAATCACAGAGTGCTGAATCCTCCTCTGAATTCAGAAGGAATTACAACCCAACAATTTTGTGCTTTATTTAATAGCTACTTTAAAAGAGATCAAGGAGCCAGAAGATGTTGCAGGAAAAATAAAGACATGAGAATTCTCAAACTTTCCTGACCATCATGTTGAAAACTTCAATGTGACTATTTCTGTAAGCTAGCATCTTTACTACTAAGCTGTGTTGAAAATGTGAATACTATTCACTTCTCCAGTTAATCAGTTTTAGATGATTTGTTGATTTTAAAGTGCTTGTTGTTATCACCCAGTAGATTTCAAACTTGGAGGTTGGAAAGGTAAGAGAGTTTAGTAGGTTGCTTTACCAGTAAAGTATGAGATTATCTTTAAAAAAAAAAAAAATCTGTTTTCAGAACAGGTTAAGAGTAATTGCTGATAAGATACCATTAGTTTTTCAGATGGTAAACTTCCCCCCCGCCCGACCCCGTGAACATACAAAAAGTATTATAAAGCTTATTATGGCAGAGGTCATAATTAAGGCATTACAAAATGGTCTTTTGTTTGCCCTGCAGCTGATGTGTATTTAATTTAATTTAAAGCAAGATTAGAGTTTATGACTAGGTTAATCTGACTACTTAGGTCTGATTGAAAGATCAAAAAAAAATTACTTTTTCACAGTCTGTATCTCAAAGTATGTACAGATGCACCGAAGTGCAGGAAACCTGGGAAGGGATGCCAGTACATCACTTAAATAATAAGGTTCATAGGACAGCTGGTGCTTAGTTTATAGCTGTTATCTGGTTGGTGTTTTGGGTCTGTGTGTGTCTGTCAGCCTCTGTTCCCCCTGCCTCTCCAGACTGGGCATTATGTTCTGATTCTGCCTCAATAGATGGTACAGGTGCATGGTGTGATGACAGCATTTCCTGATAACTGGGTTTTATAACATCAGATGTTTAGTGTTTGGAGGCACTATATTTCCAGTACAAAGGACAAATCAGAGACTGCCTATAATTACATGGCTTGAAGTCCTGTGCTTCCTTTTTAAGTACCATCCATATCATAAGGAGTAACAAATGAAATGATACAGTTGGTGATGCTTATAGAAAACACGGGAAATTTCCTTCATTATGTCTTCTCTGAAGTTGCTTTTGCTACCATTGTCCAAAATTTCTGGTGTAAAAGAGAACAGTTTCTGTTGTCAAAAACTAGAAATATGATCACCTATGAAAGCAGCTTGAGGCATTTAGGGCAGGTCTAACAGGACAGTCTGAGACTCTTAATCCCTAAGGAATGTGCCAGTGTGTTCAACAGAGAGGTAAAACAGTCTAGGCAAGAATGGGTCCAAGTTAGCATCATCTAGGTGCCAGTAATAAAAAATACAAATGAGTGAATGGAGTAACTGCAAGTCAGTCTTACAGTATGCACTCGTACCATGAGAAAATTCTTTGCCTAAAATCTAAAAAAGCATCTTTATGTGATACTTAATTCTTTACTAACATCCTAAATTGTTATTCTGCTGGCTTCAGCTTCTGGTGAAGTATTTTAGTCAGGGACCTTTCATCTGTAGTTTTGAGGTCACAATTTCTGTGCATCATGCAAAGTTAAGACACCACACATGCAGGACGAAGTTGCTCAACACTGTACTTTTCTGGAAGTTTTTCTGTGATTCCTGGAGTTGACTTCTTTTGTGATGCAGGGAGAATGAATTTTGTGCTTGTGAACTGCATAATCTTTTAGAAGGCAATTAATCTAAACAAAATAGCCTTTTTTTCAGAATTGCTTTCTCAACGCATAGTACACAAATATTTGCTGTTTGTATCTGTGTATATTATAGGAAAACCTGAAATTGTTATGAAGTTAGCCATCTGTTTTGGAGATGGACTACTTCATTGTGTATGAAATAGTAAAGTGGTGATCACCAGAATTCTGATGTGATATTACTATTTATTGAAGTGCCTTAGTTGCTGAAATAGATGGGAATTAATTATGTAGATAATTTTAAAAGTTTTGCTCATTGGTATTTACTCCTTGCCAGGAGTAATTCAATGTCAATGGTATGTAATGCTGGTGTAAAATTATTTTTTGGGTTTAAAATAACCCTATATTGTGAACTTGTAATTTATTTTCATCTCACGGACTTCTGACAAAACCTGTTTTTTTCACATGTTAAATCAGGTATGCATTGCATACTTTGCATCAGTGGACAAAAGTAGTATCAATATTATAAATGCACTTCCTGTTTTTTTTCTGTAACTGAAAGGAAGATTTTGTTATAACTTAAAATTGTTTTCCCAGTCACAAGTTTAAATTCTTCTGCATTTGTTCTTTAGCAGATACTAAAGCTGGAGGTGAACAGTGTGGTAGCAACTTTCTGGCAGACAAACGTGCACTGTTAAAAAATGAATACATGTAACCTCTATCTCCAAACAGGATAAGAAGTTACACTCAAAATGTGTAATTTCTTGTATGTTTGATGGAACCACTAACTGAATAATGTAGCTAAACATATGAAATTTGAACCATGTATAGCATGTCAATTAATATAATAAACATCATCTACATAAAATATCCACTAGTTTTATCATGAAGGCACTTTTATTTAAAAGCAAAGCAGCATTGAAAATAAGATACTGGGCCAGGTCCTTATTTGTGACTGTTCATTCTCTATGTGTAAAGGAATCAAAAGTCATCTGAACCTGGTGAAAGCCTGAGAAAAATGAAAAAAAAAAAAAAAAAAAAGTACACCTCACCATGCCTTCTGCCACCCAGAGTGGATAGCAAAATGAAATCTTAACAGGTTGTTGCTGCAAACAGTTTCTTAATTACCACAGTTACTTTAGGATGTATAAACCCACTTATAACAGTTACAGCTAGAGTACTTAAAAAATTCAAGAGGTGTATAGCCAGAGAGGTAATATATTGGCAATGTAACGAGAAAACAATGTTCATAACTGCTTGAAAGCTTAGTGCAGTTTTTGGACACTGTTCATCATGTAAGTTTAAGCAAATGTGATTACAATATAACATCTATGCAAATATAATACAGGCATCTATTTAAAGATTTCATTTTCTAGCTACTGAAATTGCCCACTTTCAGTGGATTTTTTTTCCATTCTTTGAAAGTGGTTATTTATTGTCTGGCACTCTAAAATCAGTGCTGATTCTTGCTCCTGCTGGAATTCTAAATATACACCCCAGTGAAATTTTAGATCCAACATACAAAAGCCTTTAGGTAAAGGGGTTTTTTTCCCCCTTAATAAAAATCCCCTCTTAGAACAGCTTTGTTATCTCACTTCCTTAGTAGCATCAAATTCATCCTCCTCATCATCCTCTTCATCATCTTCATCTTCCTCCTCATCCTCTTCTTCATCTTTTCTTAGCATTCTGCGGGAAATCTGATAAAACAAAAATCCAACCAAAGGGTATCAACTGTTTTGTTTCCTGCAAACAAAAAATAATTCTCCATTGAAATTTTCAGCCTAAATGCAGGGTCTTCATTTGGGGGTAAGGGGTAAGTTGTTTATTTATTAACTCTTCATAACATGCACACAAATGGAAAGATACATGACACAGAATAAAAATATTCTAATGATTTTTAAAAGCAAAAAAAAAAAAAGCATGTAGTCCCTCAGAATTATTACAGGATAGGTAAAATGGTATTTTTTACCAAATCCATGCTAAAAATCAACAAGATGCAATTCAGTTTTTTCCTGGGTTGGCTGCTGAAGCAGCAGGCTGAAGAGGAGTATTAGGGCCTAATCTTACCTTGAAGACATCAGACCTTGTCAGTTAAAAGCTCAAAACAAAGCTGCTTAAGCTTTTTACCTTTTTTTCCCCCCCTAGAATTAATTAGACAAACTTAAGAGTCTTGAATCATAGACGAAGTTCTTTCCCTGCCCATCAGAGCTTGCCTTTAGAGTGACTCCTTTTTTGGTTCATCAAACATTAAAAACAAGTGCCAGCTGCCAGGCTTTCATCTCATTTGACAGATTCTGCAGCCTGTAGTTTTTTTTTTAATGAGGGCTCAATCTAATTCCTGTTTAAGATAGATTCTTCACAGACAATGCAACATTTACAATTTAAAGAAGGATACATGTTTTTTTTTTCCCTTTCCCTGTAAGAAAGAGAACATTGAAGACACTTATCCAAGTAATCTGGAATGCTTTTGAAAAATTTCAGGTTCAGTAGTTCTCTAAGGGCATCTGCAGCTCTAATTTTTGTTATATTTTCTGTGTCTTCTCAAATACAGTGATATAATAAAAACTTCTGTACTGAAGACAGAGCTTGCCTTTTCTTTTAAGCAGCCTTCTATTTTAAAGGTCCTTAAATGCTCATTATTAAATTGACTTCTGACATGTTATGATTCATACAGCCATGTATGTAATGTAAGATTATGTGTGTGCATAAAGCAAACTGTAGTCATTGAACTTCCGAAAGAAGAAAAATCCTTAAGTCTTGTTCATGGTCACCAAGTACATAATTTAGCTCGAAGCAAACAGTTGCTTACAAATTTCTGAACACAACAGGAAATGGAGTTAATCATTGGGTGAAGCTGGGTTAACTTCAGTTGAAATGTCTAAAGCAGCAGTCTCTCATTCCGTGAAAGAAAAAAAAAGACAATGGCAGTGATTTGTAATTGGAGTTTAAGGAATGCTGCAGATTGAGCCTGTTAAGGAGAAATGAATTTCACTGGGACAGACTAATTTTCTAAGTTTTTTTCCTAGTTCAGAGTATCTGAAATTCTTCAGCAGAACTTGCATTGTATTTCTGAAGAAAAGCTCCCCTCTCCCTTTCCTGAAATAAGAATTGTTTTGGCTTTATGGCTTTTTTCTGCTCACTATTCAAATGCCTCTGACCATGCAGCAATTAACTAAATAGTGTATTAAATATTATCACTGGTGGTGGTAGGATGGCTATCCCTAAGAACCTAACTGGATCAAGGAAGGAAGGTGAGAAAATAAATTATGCAATTTAAATCCAAGTTATTGTGCCAAAGAACTAAAACATACCAGTATAAAAATTTAATTTTTCATAACTTAATGCAAAAAAAGAAAAACATTGTAATTTTTTGACCATAAATCATTTTACATAAAAATTAATGAGTTACATGCAGGTGATGACAGTCCTTGTTTAAGCAGTTCAGCTCCATCTTTCACTGCAGATGCTACTTCAGAAACATGGCAATTCTCTCCGCGTATTAGTGCTGGAGCATTTGGATGCAGTCATTTTCAATAATGGTTAAAATGATACTTTGCTGTCCTACAGAGTGTCAGTACAGAAGTTTGTTATATTTAATGGATGTAGGTAAAATTTGTGTAGTTGAATTTGATTTAAAATATCTGGAAAAGGTTATTCTGTTTTGCTATAGTTCCAAAATATAAGCTATACCAACCTGAATTGGTAAACCAAAACGTTGAGGATAAATTGCCAAGTGAAGTGTCATAAAACGAAGGACATAGCTCTTTGTGAGAAAATTAATCAAGCTCAAGGAGTACTTTAGATTTTTAACATACAAATAATATAGAAAGTTAGTCCACAGAGGCAGAAATAAATTCAAGGATGGTATGTGTTAAATCCTCTCAAAAGACCTGACTTGTGTTCTGGCACACTTTATTTCATCTGGTATGCAGTGACTTCCCACGCTGTCCCCCATGTACAGGCTAGTGTTTGTGTGTCTGTCCTCCCCTGCCCCACAGACTTGGATTGTGTGATTCTGTGAACTTCTTCCCACATCATTTATACTGCTTTACACTGGAAATAGCAAAGTACTACATTACAGACAGTAAAGGATTACTGTGCAGCAGGAAATGTGTCAAAAATTTCAGAGTGAAAGATCCACAGAAAAGAAAACAAGTCACCTGCACGTTTTTCTGAATACAGCATTTTTTTTTTCTCAAGAGATATTTGGTGGTTCCAAAGATTAGAGCCCTTAGTGTAATTCAGCACCATGCTATTTACAGAATCAGAAAGGGCTGCCCTTTCTTCACTGCCCTATGGTGACTGCATTAGTAGGGTGTTCCACCCCTTTTTTCTGCCATATGATCCTCCTCTGCAGACACACTGCACAGCCAAGTAAAATGACCTTATTTTGAATTGCATTGCAGTTTTCCTCTAGGTCTAGATGATTTCCTATTCTTTTCAGGTATGTTAGAGGTTATGAGAACACTAACACCCAAAGTTATAATTAAGAGCAGTCTAGGAAATGAGAAAGGTTAACCTGCAAGTTACTCAAAATGGAGTTCCACTCCACCTCTGGGAGAAATCACAATGTACATACTCTCAATTTTCTTGTTTTGTGTTTTTTCTCTCTTGCATTTTCTGAAGTGAATATGCTTGTGAATTCACAAGTGAATTCACAGCTTGAAGTGAATTCAAGCTTCTGAATCTTGAATATGAAATTTGCTTGAGTGATAGAGAGGACTGGCAAGTTACTCAGTCAAGGTAGTACTTCATGCACTGAATCACTAGGTTGTATCTCATCAGATGACACAATTCATACTTTCAACAGAACAGCTCAACTGTAATAATTGATGCTGTTCTGTGTTGAGAGCAGAGAAGGTGTAAAGTGTGTACAAAGTCAAGATAAGTATTCCTTACTACAATATCAATGCATGATTCTATTCAAAGAAGAAAGGTAAGATACATGCATTTTAAATGTGGCTTTGTCTTTAACTGAAACACTGGTAAGAATCATTGTAATTACAGGATTACAGTTGCAATGAATTAAAAATAATTTAGCCATTTTGCAATGTCTGCAAGTTTACTGCTGTAAACAAGTGGCAAAGATATTTGCAAGGTAGCTGGTCCAAAAAGAATGGCAGTGTCTTCAACTGTTTCACTCATTTTTATCATCCTTTTCCTCACCTGCTGTGAATTTTCAGAGTATAAATGGAGAAGTCTGTAGGTCATGAGTTTGCTCTGCTGCTAGAAGGTATCACTAGTCTGGATTAGGATCTGGTAGAGAGGTCACACTCTAGAATCCAAATACTAAGAATATGAAGTATTCTAAGAATGTCACTACTCTTTCAAATAAGCTCCTAGATCTCTTCTCTGCAAGATGCCAGTTTATTGATGGAAGACAAAGTATTGCTGGAAATGGCATTTGTCAAAAGTAAGCAACACAGCTTTAAAAGCTGAGGGCTTTTTTCCTTCAATGATAAAGCTGCATTATCAAGAGCCTATTATGATACTGATGCCATTGAAAGTTTCTTTATATTTCTGATGGTCCTGAACTTAAAGACAGTGAATCCATGTGCATTAGCTAAGTAGAGTTTTAAGATAGTGCTTTAGTATGTATTTTTTTTCTTACCTGTGCTGTTCTCAGTGAAGATTTTGAGGAGCCAGTTCTTTGCAAGGGGGACTTGGAATTTGCACGAACTATGTCTAAGCGAGACTGATAGTCTGGTGGATAAAGTGAGCTCCGAAAAACCTAATCAAATGGAGAAAGCTGTGACTTAGATGCTTGCAAGCTAAGAATCACCAAGACTGAAGCTTGCAGAAACGCAGCACTGGAGAATGAAACTTGATCTAGAGATGTGCATTGACTGTAGTTTGGACTGATCACTTTTAGCTGAAACAATGTCCTTGCTTAACCTGAGGCATGGCAACATACTTATGTGGTCAAGGTAAACATTCTTCAGAGCTTTGGGGGCATTTACACAGGCAAAACTGCAATGGGTTCCCACCAAGATATGTAGCTGAGTTTCAGGCTAAGCTAGAAGTGTGAACCCCAGCAACTCCTTCAGGCTCACCATTTCTTGCAGAGATGAACTCAACCACTTCACAAGCAAATCCCTGCTGTCAAATACAACTGCATCAGAAAAAATGTTACTTGAACTGTACAGAAGATGTACAACTCAAGAAAAATTTGGGAAACCTCTTAGAATACATGGGAGACCATGACATCCATTATATTTTCAAGTTATTTCAATAACCAATACAGCTATTTGTGCAAGACTTTAAGTCAAGAAGATGGTATATTATGGTCAGTATTTTTAAGAAAAGTAAATAATTGTCCAATTAACAGAAAATTTAAAATGAGATTAAAAATTTGGTTGTGAAAGACAAAGTACTGACTTTAAGGAGATTTCTGAATTGGTGCCATGTGCCATTATAATTGTGAAACTAAAATAGTACAAAATTGCCATAGCATAGTTTAAATGAAGTAAAATTACCAAGCAGTCTCAAATATGACTCACTGAAGACTCATGGTTTTTAAGTCTTGCGCCAACTTGCTTCTGAGCCATGTCATAGACAGAATAAAATTATGACTGGTAGGATTTACAAAAGAAGACTGAAAATGATCCAACTTTTTTGACAAACCAAACATACATACACAACACACACTTCCATGATATTAAGTTTAAAGACCCAACATCCAGAAGAACTGCAAGAATGAATAAAGGACTGAAAAGCCCATCTTGGGAAAGAGAAGACTATAATTCAGAAAGAAAAGAAAGGGTGACTTGAAGCTGGTTACTGCCACAAGGCAAAAACCCCAATGTAGTAAATAACAAATGTCTCTTAATTCTGTAACAGCCAATAAAAATGATTAAAAGATGAAAACAAACAAACAAACAAAATTCAGGTTAGAGGGAGATCTTTAATGTAGTAGTTAGTCTTTACATCATCTTATCACAGCAATATAAGATTTTTTCTAAGTGCATCTTTAGAGCAAGACACTGCAGAAGTGTTCTTTAAAAACTGTTTTATGTTTAGCTGAGCTTGGAGCGGCAGGTAATTTTGTGAGTCTCCTTTCTGTGTTTTGTGGGAAAGATTAGATTGCCACTGCAGTTGCTCTCTGTGTTCTCTGAGATTACAAACCTGCATGCTCTTGCTGAAGAAGTGCAAAACAAAAAAAAAGCTTGGTATACATGAGTTTCTTCTGGGACCCTGAAATATTTGTTGCATTTTTCTGTGTGGGACATGTGTAGCCTGATTGTGAAAACTGTTTTTATACAGGAAGTAAACAGAAAAGCAAATTTCAATCACTCTTACCTCCAAATCTTCATTTTCATCAATATTTTGGATATTCTGATAGGCAGCTGTATATATCTCTAAAGCTTTCCCATGGAACAACATTTCAATAGTTATGAATTCAGAAAATATATTCTGAAAGCAAATGAAAAGAAAGGTTTTCTTAATGCAGTATATTTTCACTTCAAAAAATTACTGTCCTCTGTATTTGGTATTTATATGATATAAATAACTGCATGATACTGAGTACTTTTAAATAGTCAGATTGGATGAATCTAAATTAATTTTAGACATTAAGCATAAATTCTGGCTGGGCTATCACTTATGCAGTTATTATTTAATAATAAGTTCTAAATAAATACTTCAAAAGTAAAGAGAAAATTTATTAGGAATAACATGTCTTACTGAAAAGCCATTTGATAATCTCCAATATGTATTCCTAAGATATTGCCAGTCAGAAGTTTTGCTATTTTGAAGACTGTCTTTTATAGCAGGTTGAGGATAAGTTATCTGTAGATTCTATATCTGTGATTTACAAATCTGTGAAATATTAATGAATACCATGAGATTTGCATTTCAGTGAATACTAGAATGTTGCTAATCTTGCTCCTGACTAATTTTATTATAGTATTAATTTTATTATGTAAGATGAAATGTGTGCACACATACTTTGATGTCCCTTATCTTCTGTTTCTCAAAATTATCAATGGTTTCCTCTAAGTGCCGAGTTGTTCGAGTCGCATCCAGTGTTGCTCTGTGCAGTTCATTTTCAGCCTGGTAAAGTAACACAAAGGTGAAATTAGTCTTGCATTTGATACAAAGCTATTTGCTGTAATTGCCATTATTTAAGTCTGAGTTTGCAAAAAAATACATATGTGTGTTACAATATTTTAAATCTGTAGCTTAATGAACATATAAAGATGCCTTCTACACTGTTGTGACTTTGATGTGAAACATGAGAATGACCAGCTGCAGCCAGTCAGGAAAGTCCCTCTGCCTTGATTCATTTTCTGTAATAATCATGAGATAGTTTTACTGAGCCAGTCCTGACATCCCATTGACAACCCAGTGACTGGGTTTAGGTACTTAACCCAGCACAGGCCATAGCGGTGGGTGAGCAGGAAAGGTCACGCCTTATTTTCTACTGCAGATCAACCTGCTGGGTCCAGGAAGTTTCTTTTCCAGTGTAGTGTGCTGAACCTTATCTTAGTAAATTTTTACAAATTATTTACATAAGCAATTAGAGCAGCAGCTGGAACTTATGTACTTATCCTGTAAATATCTCAATCTTGCAGGCTAGAGTTATTGAAATTTTTAGATTCAAATGCATTTCAGGTATTTTATGTTTTTAATATTTTTGCATTATTAAAATATCTTATTAAAAACATTTTCAGCAGGGCACTGGGAAGGGGACACATCAACCAATTCCTGACACATAAATACACATATTTGTTACTACAAAAAGCATTTTAGATAGCTATTTTAATTAGATATAATTATAAACTTTATAGAAAGATCACTACCGTTTAAGGAAAGATACTGAAACTATTCTGATTAAGTCAAGTCTGAGAACTGTACACTATTACAATTTAACAATGTACAGTTGTAAGAGCTTGCACTTGAAATCTACAAGATTTGGGTCTAAACTTCTGTTATTTTCCATACATTATTGGTCAAACATCACACACTAGTGATACTTACAGGCTCAGTCAGTAAGTATCATCACAAATCTATTCTGTCATTAGATTTGAAAGTAGTACATGGATCAAGTACTGTATCCTATGATCAAGTTGTAAGGTTCTTCCCATTTCTACAAAACTGCAACTTGATTTTTTTTTAATGGAAAAAGACACCACAGGTCCAGTTCCTGTGATACAGCTTTTAGTGTTACCTATATAGAAACCTAAGGAATAAGGCATGCTCTGTTCACGTCTTTGATTGTAATCTGCTAAACTTATTTCACAGGATTAGCAATTTGAAACAATCTCCTTTCAAAACCAGCCTAACATCATAGACACAATCCTGCCATTATGGGGCAAACAAAATTGATAATGATCTTTAGTAGTACATAAGGTCACATGTTCATCTCTCTTAATTTTGCCCAAACCACAGGAGGGAAGAAAAAACATTTTGTGTATTTTCAATTACTTCCATTAGTCACTCTGCAAGTGATGGCAGCTATTATGCATATGCAGCCCTTATGCATACAAATACAGTATGTTATTTCTGTGATAATCAAATACACCTCCTCAATACATCTTAGATTGGACATAATTTGTCACATATGCTTTGGGAGAGGAATACTGGTTGTTTTAGAGTGAAGTGTCTCAAGTTGCAGAGCCTGCATAGTTTGGACAACAGCAGTTTGGTATTTTTTGAACACTCACCTGTGACTGGAAATATTAGTAAAGGAAAAAAATGGCAATGTAACAATCAATATTCATGGACATGTAACAATCAATATTCTACTTTTAATATACTGTGAACTATTTACCTTAGTTATTTCAAAACATCTATGTATTTAGTGCTATTATGTTGTCTGAAGCCTCTGGCTGTAAGATGTAAAGTTTGGTAGAGCTTTGCTAGAATTCAAGTATCCAGGCCAAAACATTTCAGTACAGCTGTCTGTTTTGGACTGAGGGCTTGGTTATTTATTTTTAAACTAATAAAAAGCAGGCAGCCTACAGTTTAGCAGACTTCTTCAGGGAAAAAAAAAATCTATTTTTATTTACAGAAGTGTATTTCTAAAAATCTGGTAATGTTTTCCTTTCAAAGCTGTGCTAACACATCATTTGTAAGATGCGAGTGAGTACAGATTCTTTACTATCTGTGGCCAAAGTTGTTCACTGCAGCAACATCACAGTTGCTCAAGAATAAGAGAACCCCTGCAGGAGCCCAGCTGCTTTGCTCTAATGTGGCAAAGCCTCTCTCAGACCTGAAAGCTGACCTACACACATCCTAAAAAGCAAATGAACACATTCCTGCTCCTAATGCCTTTTTAAGTGTTTTAAGTGTCAATCTGACCTTTTTAAGTGTCAATCACTTTAAAATGCTAATAGGCAGCATTTGGTGCTTTTGCCATGTGCAGAATCAGACTGTACTGAGATTTTATAACTCTGAGGAAAAGCTTTAAGTGTAGAAAACAGGTGTTACAAGAAGCTAAGTCACAGAAGAATATTTGGGAGAAGATTAGAAAAGAAACAAGACGAAATGAACTAGGTGCCAGTGACATACCCATGAATTGAAATGGGAATTAGCTCAAGCGAGAAAAATGGGACCAGTCTCCCTTTGGGAAAAAACAGCTTATTGTTATAATTTACTCCCTTAATTCCAACAAAAAAGAACTTTGCAACACAGCTCAAGTTCTAACCCTGTGGCTGACAAACATCTGTCTTTATTATACAAGGGATTCTAATTAGTCATGACTTAACTGATTTAATTAATATTAAATGGAAATTCTCTGGCAAAAACAAAAATAAAATGTAATTCTCCTGTGTTCAGTTTGACCAACACAGTCATTTTCACTCTTTCTACAGTCTCATGCCCCAATCACTACAAAGATCCTGAAGATTCTGAAACAGAGTTGGCAAAATCCAACAATGAACAGGACTGCTTAACTCCCAAGTCCAACACTAAAATGTAATAAAAAGTAAACAGCACATCATGAACCTAGATCCTGTATCATAATACATAACCATAAAGGGACTGAAGTAGAATTGCCTTGATCCCATTTATTCTGGCATTCCCTAGATTCTGATTGCTTCAAAATTTGAAACGTCAATGAGATTTTAATGAAAATTCTAATTCAGTTTGATGGAGGCTTAATTTTTCCCACTGTGATACAGAATATTATACTGGGGAGGGTGACTGGTCTTTGGAAAAGAAGAGCAGTCTAGCTGAGTATTCTACTAGCAAAATAACAACTTATCCTTTCATACAGCTGGAGGAAACTTATATCCCATCTAGGTACCAGGAAGCACAATATAACAAAAATGGCAGGGAGAAAAACAATAAATCCACAGAAATAAAAAATAAATTGTCTGATTACACTTACTTTCAAAAACTTCCAAATTCCTGGATGTAATCTATGCCTACCTCTCTTGCATAAACATATCAAATAATTCATAGTTTCTTTTCAATTCAAAAGTGATTAACTACTGCTCTGTAGCAACTGTAATGAAGTTTAAGAAAAGATTCAGCACTGGAAACAGCTCCTCTAAGGAGCATTATTGTTATTACTACTTCCTAAACATAACAATTTAATTCCCAAGAAATTCTAAAAATATTTTTCCTAGTGACTAGAAATGCAGGATACGATAACGTGTAGATCTGATGGATTCCGCTGACGTGTCTTTTCCAGTTGAGACAATTGCTTGGCTTCTCGGTTCTTTGCTGTTAAAGTTGCTCTAAGATCATCCTGGAAATAAAATGTTTTAGACACGCTTGAAATACATCTAGGATAATACAAAATATGCTCTCCTTCATACATGCATTGCCTAGAAAACATGGACAAAACTTCTGCTTCAAATAAAAACAGATTTTAGTGATCTGTTAATTGATCCTATGAAAGAGAAGTCAGTGGGGACTGAGAGAGTTTAGCACCTTGTGCAACTCCCTATAGCACATGTTATGATTGAAAATGTGGGGAAGGAAAGAAAAAGATATTCACAGCTTTACATGAAAAGTATAGCAGATGGTCACAAGCTGAGATCCCCAGAGCGCTAAGAAGGCAGACCCATTCCTGTCTTAGCAATAAAATAAATGTGGTACTTAGAAATAAAAATCAAATATTAAGTGGCATCAATAAAGAAAAAAAAAAAAAAAAGCAGGCAGCAGTCAGTACCAAGAAGTTATGAAGAAAATATAGCTGCTGTCACCTGTCCACTGCCAGCTGCTGTCACTGCTGACAGTGGAGCTGCTGAAGGGGCTGGAGTTGAAGTCTGATGAGGAGAGGCTGAGGGAGCTGGGAGTGTTTAGCCTGGAGAAGGCTCAGGGGGAACCTTATCGCACTCTACAGCTCCCTGAAAGGAGGCTGTAGCCAGGTGCGGGTCAGTCTCTTCTCCCAGGCAAGCAGTGACAGGATGAGGACATAATAAGCTGCACCAGGGGAGATTTAGATGAAACATTAAGTCATTTTTTTCCACAGGAAGGGTGGTCAGGCATTGGAATAGGCTGCCCAGGGAAAAGACGGAATCACCACTCTGGAACTGTTCAAAAAAGGTGTAGATATGGCACTCAGGGACAGTTTACTGGTGAACATGGTGGTGCTGGGCTAATGGTTGGACTCAATGATCACAGAAGTCTTTTTCAACCTAAACAATTCTGTGCCACAAGGTACCATAGGAATTGTATGGCTGAAAGGGTTAAAGTGCATATATATATATATATATATATATATATATATATATATATGCATTTAGTAAAGTGTTTAAAATCATTTGAAACAAAATACATCCAAGTAATGATGGAGCTGAAGATAAAACTTAACTGATCTAGAAAGGGCAGAAACTGTTGACAACTGCTTCTGCTCCATTTCCAAAAGAGAAGTAGTATTTACTTCTAGGAAGACCTGTGACTATTTAAGAATGTTCATCTATCAGTTTTCTCAAATTTTTGTTCATGTTATAAAACTGTTTTGCAAACTGTTTGACATTAACGGAATGTAAGATTATCAGTCAAATATTTATCATTCCACTGATGCTGGTATGGAAAAGGTCATTAATTTTGATGGTTCCAGTTTAAAGGAGCAGTAGTTTAGAACAAGTAGAAATATAGTCTAAAGTCTAACAAAATCTGAGGTAGGATTGGGCATGCATTTCAAATGACCTTTTATTCTAAAATATCACTTCCACTTTTATTTACTACTCCAGAAAGCAGTTAGAGCTATTAGAAACTATCATACTGGGAAATTGTCTGTGCTCCTTCCTTGGATTTCACAATTTTAAGGCTTGTATGTCGCTGTGAACAGAAGGATATGCAACTAAGACTATATCTTTCAGTAAGTTTTGTGGTCCTGTGACCAGATTACTACTCAGTGACAAGCACAAGATTGCCAAGTTTCACAGTGCTGTGTGTTCCTTCAATAACAAGGCTGCACATGAGGACAGGGTCAAAACATCCAGTTTCTTCCTTGTTTCTATCCTTACTGTCTGTATGTCATTGTATATAACTGTCATTTTGCTTCATCTCCAGGGACACAGAACTAGCTTCTGATAATAAAAACTACTTCATCTTCAGCCCATCAATGCTGGTTTTACTGCTGTTCTTTCAGAATTTACACAACCTCTGTAAGGTCAAAGACTACTGAAAAGGCCTTTTGCTTTTATGAGAACCATGTGGCTACAAAAAAAGCAATAATAGAAAATTTTAAATTGTTTTTTTCCAGTTTTAAATTTTAAAGGTAGAAAAGAGAAAATAACATATTTTTTGTTGTTTTGAAACAACAAAGTTTTCCATCTAATGGTCACAGCTGCATGTTTAGTGCTATTTAATGACTGATGCATTAATAGCACTGACCTTCTAGGCCCATTTAAAACAGTCAATCAGATTTAACACTGTGGCTTGAAAGGGTGCTGACTTTCACACGAAGTGTACTTGAGGATGCAAAGTTCTAGAGTTACCATTATTAAATTCAGTATTTTCTTTCTAGCATGTAGTGACTTTGGAAATACCTACAGGAACCGAACTGTTCTCTACCTCTGTTTTCTGTAGCAACAGACACCGCAAAACATACTTCTCTTCTAGCCAAAGTGTGACAAAGAATTAGTGCTACCATGGCCGTAGTGGTGAAGCTCTGTACAAGTTTTGGATGTACAAAAGTAGGGCACATACATATTTTGTCCAAGAAAAGGGTGCAGAAAAAAACCAATAAAAATATTAAAAAGCTGGGGAAAATGTAATTTATGGTGAACTAATCAAGGTGTACATTACCTAACAGGAAAAAAAAAGAAAAATTTGTTTTACTAGCATCTAAATACCTTCATCCAGAAAAAAACCCAGAGCATTACAGAGCTCTTTCATCTCAGTGGAGCATGTAACAAGAACCGAAGATTAGGTGAAGTCTTTCATTTAAAACAAAACACCACAAACATCAACTAACCACTAACTACCACCAACAGTCCTACATTCACCTCCAGTGTCTTTAGACCAAGCTTTGACGTGTTTTTGAAAAATATGCTTTAGTTACACTCTAGGAAAAGTGGAATGGATTAGGCAATGAGATAAAAGGTACAAAGAATATAAAATTATTCACAGTTCCTCTAGGTTTTAACTATGAATTCAAGTCACACATAAGAACTCTGGTCACCCATCTATTTTCAAATCATACAAAAGTACAGCTATAGTTCATCCACCAGACAATGAGCTGGCAGAGCCTCATCACTGTACTGTTACCTGCTTTAGTCACTGAAGTTATTAAAGCAACTCAATCCTTTCTTCTGCACGTGGATCACTTTGGTTTTATGATGTCCTGTTTTACATGAAGGAAAGGAACCAGGAACAGAGTTGCCAAAAAGCAGAAAAGTGAAGATTGATATACAGAACAATGAAACAGGAAGAAATCCTCAAATCCTACATTTAAGGTGTGTTACAGGACAAGAATATTGTTTTAGCTTCCACTGAAGCTATTCAGCAATGTAAACCAGAACAAGTGAAGGAAACAATTTTACTGCATTAACACATAAAGGACAACACTACTCTGATGGACCTAGGCCTCTTTAAAGCATTTAGTAGCACAGGACATTGATGTCTTATACCACAGAAAAAGCAAGCTGTTTTTAGATAAAGCACAGAAATACTGCTGTGTACTTCGTGGGACAGATCCAGTAAGTAAGCAGCAGTGAGAACATCCCCTTTAGAGAAAGAAGCTATAATGACATACTCTGCCTGATTTTACTTAGTCAGCTAATGTAGTTACAGCTAAAGCAGTCCTAGAGCTAGCAGCTTGTGCTAGATTTACATGAGTGACAAAATTTCCTCTGTCACTAAATATGTCCCAGTGATTACAGATGATAACTGAAGACCAGGTAGTTGAAGTTTTAACCAAGGTTTATGGTCAATGTGCAATGGGAAAAAAATAACCATTTAATGGCCTACATTTTTAGTGAACCCTATCTTGGTTCAAAGGTAAACAGGTAAAATAATTGACCTCATCTACGGTTTAAAAATGCTCTTGTACTCCTCACTGTAGCTAAAATAAACATTATGCAACACTTTCTGACATTCTGAAAGGCAAAGACCACAGGAAATTCAATTCACTGTTGCAAGCAATGACTTGGTTTCAGTTGCTTCTGTCCTCAGTATTACTGGCTATCAGTGGCAGTGCAGCTCAAGACAGTCTCTTCAATGCTTTGGAAGCCCCAGGCATTGCTGAAATGTTTTGTGTTTCCTCAGCAACCCTACTGCCACAAACACATGAAACTTGTCTTCCATCCCCAGCATTTACACCCTACAAAGTACCCAGTTCTAGATCTCACAAACTGGTGACCATTACGATACCAGGTTTTAGGCACTACAGCTACAGCTCTGCTAAGGACTACCATGGGTAGTCCTACTCAAGTGTAGGATGCATTTCCTTCACAATTGTTTTTCTGACCACCAAGTGAGGTAACTGTGCAGTAAGTCCCAAACAGTACTTGGTTCTTCACCATATGGAAAAAAAAAAACCCAGAAAAAAAACCCATAGGAAAACTGCTTGCTTGAGATGCAGTGCCAGTCTATTCCAATTAATCATGATGAACACACCACAAGATTTTTGTTTTGGTATTTTTGTAAAATACCATCAGATAATAATAATTTAAGCTTTTGATTTACATAGATTATGGTACACACATATCAATTACAGATTTGAGTTTGCAGGATTAAAGTATTCTTTATATAAGATACAAGTATTATGATGATCTACTTTTAGTATCTGCTTATTAAAAACTCCTTGCACAAGCTTATCTTTCCTGGAGGAAAGAAACTTACAGGTATTTTAAGGGAATATTTCAAACCCCTATAAACATTGTTTTGAAAAATAGTGAATGAAGAGACCTCAGATTTTTGTGTATCTTCAGGTCATCATGATGATTTAATGGAGAGGGATTTAGGCACTATCTACTTATGAGGTTCAAATGTGTTTTCCAAGTTAAAAACCTTAATGGAGAACATAATTCTGAGTTAGAAAAGCTGTTAAAGGCTTGATGACTAAGAGCCAAAGCAGTAATAACAATATCATCACCATCATCATCAAAATCACACAATAATAAATGACATTATTTATAAATAAAAAGTCCTGAATTTACACTATTTACACTATCCAGGAAATGTCATACTAATGCCTTTTCTGAGCATTTGTTTGTCCTCGAAGAGCCTGAATATCCTAGTCTTCACATCAAAGCTCTTTCCTCCATCATATATATAGCTTCAGTTCAGATGTCTAACTATATAATTAAGTTAAACTGATTACTGAAATATGAAATCAGAACCATTTTCCCCATAAACAAAAAGTTTTCAACTGAGTGGCCAGGACATGGAAATGTACCTTGTGAGAAAACACATGTTTAACCTACCCTTTTAAGTTTCACTATGGTCCCATAACATTTCAGAGGTTCGACAACCTTGGCTTCCAGCCTGTCAACCTACAAAAAGAAAGCACAAGGTTGCTAAAACCATCCATATCCACGGTGTGCAAAATGGGAAACAATTACTTTAATAGTGACTCATCTTATTACAAATTAAATCCATATATGGTGAAAAAAAATTAGGATAAGCGTTTTTAAAAATTTTGGAAAAACCACAGTCAAGTACACTAACCAAGAAAGAAATTGCTTTCTGAAGAGCTCAAGCTGATTTCCAGTGGAATTCCTTTTCTCTGAATTAGATCAGGATAAATGAAACATGGAAAATTATGAATACATCAAAGTGAGTACTAAATACATCCAGCATTGCATCTTGGAGTTCTGTAGCTTTCTATATAAAGATCAGTGTATTTGCTCTACACCCACTGATAAGGTTACAGACTAAGGAATCTTTGCTATCAAATACACTGTGCAAAATGGAACTCTTCTTAAAAATAATGGAAACAGCATCACTGAGTGCACTAAAAATACCAATAACAGGGTATCTAAAATGCACAAATGCTCTCACAGATGAGTGGTTCTGAATTTTTGTTTCAGTTCTCCTAGTCAGAAAAACAGCTACATATGGTCAGACAGGCAATAGGATAAGACCTGCTTCTCAAATCTGACAAAACTGTCTTGAGTGGCTCCAGCATAATCTGCCAATGACTTATGGACTATGAGTGAGTCCTGTGGCCCATCGCTGCTACATCCACATTAGGACAAGGTGAATACCTCTAGTGGGAAGGGACAGTTGCCCCTATACTGGTAGTCACCAGTCAGCCAAAATCTATGCCAGCTGAGCAAACATTTCTCCTGAATACCATCTACTACTGCACTGTCAAACAATTTCACTTGAACTGCCAATAGAATAGAAAGGATTAAGCCAGTAAGGCTCTAAACAACACTTATTACAGAAGAACCAAATAACCTGGCCATCTAACTTACCCTACCATGTGTTGTGGTACCTCACACCTCACTATTTATATATCTAGCATTGCAGCTAAAGACCAGAAATTGATAATCCTTATAAGCTAATTTTCTCTTGCCCACTCTGTCAGCATACAGGGAAACTGTTAACTGACTTGATGCCTAATTTTAGGCAGTTTTCCCTGAAGTGATTAGGAGTGTAAATGATGAATGCTTTGGCAGCCTACCCAGACATTAATATATAGACGTGTTTTCTCCTGTTTCTCTTCTGACTGCAGAATATATGATTTCCCTTTTAATCACAGATAAGTAACTGAAAAGTTCAGATGGCAAACACAACATGTACAGCTTTAATTTTGTACCTCTGCTTGGCGATAGTCTTGAAGTCTGGAGAATTCATCTGCAAAGTTTTTCAGTCCAACTTTTAAGTTTGGTGTCTCTGTAGCTGCATATGCATATATTTCATTTACTAGAAGATCTGCTTTGTCTCGTAGTCTGGCAGTTTTACGTACATATCCAGCAAATATTTGGCACAATTCACCGAAATGTTTTTCCACATTTGAAACAGCATCTTGCATTTGTCTAGTCTGATTATCCCTGGATACCAAAGAAAAATAAGTGAAAAATAAGAAAGGCAGAAATGTTTACAACACATACAGAAGAAAAACTATATAATTACACTATTAATAATTTAGATATCTCATCTCAGTGCAAAGCAGAAATTTATTCTGAAAAAGAGAATGTTGTAACTGATGTAATATGTGCTTATTTATGAATGAATAACAAACAAAAAAGCAGATTTACACTTAAAGATCCAATAGAAAACCCAAATCACAAAAATCTGCTTGGAAGTTTTCCTCCTGCACTTAAGCAAAAGCTCACTATTACTAATGGCATTAGTTACTAACACAGTGGTAACACCTACAGTCTCAAACAAGACTTCTGCAATACCACCTTCCTGCTACAGCCTGCAATCTAAGCAGGCAAGGCAATGTCTGGAGAAATCAGGCAGTAGAGGACAAACTGCTAAAGGTATTACATGTTCTTTAAATTGCAAACAATTACTAAACTGCACTACAGAAGATAAATACCACCAAGAATTAAAGAAGAAAGGTGAATGGATATAAGAGTTGAAAACTGTAATACCACTGAAAAGACATCCATCACACTAATAAATTGCTTTCTTTCAAACTACATAAATCAAATCAATTTATTTGATCCAATGCCTGTATGTTTCATTATTAATGAATTAGATAAGTCATTCCAGTAACTCACAGATTTCACTTTGTATTTTGCTTTCATATTGCTATATTATTTGATGGTCATGTGAACTCATGCCCATTGTTGATCTGAGTGAATCAGCTGTAAGACAATTCAGCTAACAGTGCCTGCCAGATACTGGGTCCTCAGAAGTCTCTACAATCCAACACAAAGTTATTGATGCCAAGTGACAGAATTCTCTGCAAGAAAATTCACTCCTACCACTATCTTGGCAAGGGACAGAAACAAAAACTTCCTTCATATCCGTAAGATATCCCAACACTGCTGACCAATATTTAAATGCTGACTTTGTATCAGGATATATGATGATCAGAAAAACTGGAAGAAATGTGGTACTTTGAGACTAAACAACAATACAATCAATTCAAATGAGAAACACCTTTACTTCAGGAAAAGCATTTCACGAAGTTCTGCCTTAGGCAAAAACCCAGTTGGGTTGCTTCACGGCAAGCTGTCTGGAAGACTGTGCAAAACAGATTCCGTTAAGGTTAAAAAAAAACCCAAGGAAGTTATTCAGTCCTCCGGGACATGCTGGAGCACAGAACCACTTGAATAGGGACGGTTTCACCTGGTGGGTGAGTAGGCAAGTAAGAATTTCATTAAGTAATAATAAAGCTCTTTTTCAAAATTATATTACCTGACAAGACCTTCAGTAAAAGGTATATATTTCCTATTTTCTTGGAAGATCTTCATATCAGAAAGTGTTTCCCTCCAGGAGGAAGACGTAACCACCCACTTTACAATTCAGATCTTACACTACATTCATGCATCTAGTATTTCATGTTGGCAAGCAAAACACTACGTGTTCGTATGTGGGAGTGTAAAAGTTTTTATTCCCTCCTAATTATCGCGACCGCTTAGAACTCTCCACAGAATTATTCGCGAGAGGTCCAAATAAATATCGGCAGCACATTTTTACTCCATCTCTGCATAGCACACTAGGCCTGGAAAAGTTTTGCGGCCTTTACCGGAGGAAGGCAGAGGCGGCCCCATCTCCCAGGGAGGCAGATGCGCTGAGAAGGACCGGGCCCGCATCGCTCCCCGACCCCCGCGCCCCCCCGGGCACGCTGCGGGCAGCGGGGCCTCCTCCCCCGCAGCAGCCCGGGGCTCCCCGGCCCTCCGCGGCCCCGTACCTGGCGTCCAGCCCGCGGCCCAGCAGCATCATGGTGGCGATTGCGGCGGCGGCCGGCGGGAAGCAGGGAAGGAGGGCGGCGCTCCGCGTGCGCTCCGTTTCCATGGACACCCGGCCCGGCACCGCCCCTCGTCCTGCGGGACGGGCCGCGGCCGGGAGGAACTGTGGGGCGAGCACACGGTCCCCGAAAAGCAGAATCAGTGCGGTTGGAAAGGAGCGCTGAGATCAGCGAGTCCAACCTGTGATGGAACACCACCGTGTGAGCCGGAACATGGCACTGCGTGCCGCGCCCGGTCTTTCCTTAAACACCTCCAGGGACGGTGACTCCACCACCTCCCTGGGCAGCCTGTTCCAGGGCCTAATCACCCCTTCTGTGAAGAAATTCCTCCTTATGTCCAACATAAACCTCCTCTGGCGCAGCATAAGACTGTGTCTTCTTGTCCTATCACTTGTTACCTGGTAGAAGAGGCCGACCTTTGCCTGGCTACAGCCTCCTTTCAGGGAGCTGTCCAGAGCGATAAGGTCCCCGTGAGCTCCTTTTCTCCAGGATAAACGCCTCCAGCTCCCTCAGCCTCTCCTCACAGGACTTGTACTCCAGACCCTTCTCCAGCTCTGCTGTCCTTCTCTGGACACGCTCCAGCCCCTCAATGTCCTTCTTGTACTGAGGGGCCCAGAACTGGATGCAGTACTTGAGATGTGGCCTCACCATTGCCGAGTCTTGGGGGACAATCCCTGCCCTGCTCCTGCTGGCCACACTATTTCTGAAACAGGCCAGGATGCCATTGGCTTTTTGGCCTGGGCAAACACTGGTTCATGTTCGGCCACTGGCAACCAGCAACCCAGGTCCATTCCCACGGGGCAGCTTTTCAGCCCCTCTTCCCCCAGCCTGGAGCACTGCAGGGCGTTGTTGTGACCCAAGTACAGGACCTGGCATTTTACCTTTTTGAACCTCATACAGGGAGTTTTGGCCCATTGATCCAGTCTGTCCAGGTCCCTCTGCAGATCCTTTCAACACTCCTGCCCAACTTGCTGTCATCTGCAAATTTATTAAGGGTGCATTTGATTCCCTCATCCAGGTCATCATTAAAGATACTGACTAGGACTGGGACCAGCACTGATCCCTGGGGGACACAAGCAGTGACTCGTGCTCCCAACACACGAGCCCGCCCAAAGGCAGGGGCAGGGTCTGTTCAAGGACAGGTGCTGTATCAAGGGCTGGGCTAGTACAGGAGCAGAAAATCAGAAAGCTCAAGCCTCTCCCATTACCTAGAAAAAAAAAAAATTCAAAAAGGCCAACTTGTCTTCACCTAAGGGAGAGCTGTTGAGGTTGGGCAGCCATGGGAAAAATCCCGTGGAGCACTAGAAGAGATCTTAAAAAAAGAACAACAAAACAAAACCAAATGAAACCGAAAATATAAAAAAACCCCTAACCCCCTCTCTGTAGTGGTAACGTATTGGGCATGTGGCTTCAGGATTGTGTGGCCATGATCCTCTCAGAGTTCCTGCACATGCTGTGTGAGATTAATGCAGAAAAGACTCTTAAAGGAGGAGAGTGGCAATTGTGCTGTGTCCAACACAAACCCCTCTGATATTATTACAGTGGTCCATGAGAGCGAAGGACTCGGACAACAGGCAGCATGCTGGCACAGAGGTACATGGCAACAACTTCATGCAGATAACAAACTTTAATTTCCAACTAAAATCAATGGCCAAAAGTAATGAAGAAGCCAGGTAATGGTGATGCTTCCATGGCATTTAACAGGTTACAGGTTTGGTGTTGGCATTATGTTACTACACAAAATTGTACATGTGCACACACAGAAATACACACACAAAGAGGCCTCTCACTCAAGGGTACCCAGAAGATCTAAGGGTCAAAGGATCACTCAGGGATATCCAGTCTGAAAATAGTCACTGCTGTGGGAGAGAGTGGTGAAGGCCACTCAGACCAGGGAGGTCTCCTTGGATGGAGGTCATGGTGCAGAAATGTCTCTGCCATGTTGGCTGGGGACCCTGTCTGTGGACCAAGGGGTTCTGCCTCTTCCCAATCCCACCTTGGGTCCTGAAAGGTTGGTTGTCCCCATGTGTTAGCCAGGGAGAAGGTGAGTGCTACTACCACACATATATGAAAAAAAACTTTATTGGCTTGCATGAGCATGTGAGTAGAAACTGATTTAGTTAAACTTTGGTTTTTAACTTTTCATCTTGGTTTTTCTCTTGAAAGTAGATAATTCAGATCACTTCAATGAAAACTTTAATTCACATAAAGCAAAATAGTCCTCAAATAATGAGGATTTAATTAGTGGTTTCGACCAACTTAAGCTAAACAAAATGTTGCCAATTTTTCTTAAGGCAAGTTTGTGAAACCAGTGGCAAAACTCACTCCAAATGTTTGCAGCCTTTAAAGACTTGGTAGGCTAATATGTCTAAATGGGAAACGTCTTTCAGAGGATATAAGGGTGAGAGGACAGCTGTTACCTGGAAGTCTGAATTTCTCAACTGCAGGCCTGAGAGGAGAGGCTTCAATGTTTACTGTTGAATCTACCCACTATTAATAATCTAATAAATCAGCTAAATGACCTACCAAATAATTATATCATTATTATTAATGTGCAATCCTGTAGTTCCCCACACTGCAGCAAGATCAGTTTATCACTCTTGGATCTTATTCATTACACACAGCTACCACTGAATTACAGCTCTATCACCTCTCTCTTGACTGTGCCACACTGCTTGTTATTAAGGTGCAGTACAGTCCATCTCTGGAGGGATTTTTTGACGAAGATTTTTCCCCAAATTCTCCTTCAGTTACGTAGTTTCTGCTGTCTGCATGTTGTTTATGTGGCACACTTTGTGAGACATACTATTCCATTTTATTCCTTCCTTCACATAACTCCATTTACATCTAAGTACTTCTGTACATCTAAGTAATTCTGCTTCAGTCCTGAATCATAGTACTTGGCATAGACATTAAAAAACTTGATTTATATATGCTGATTTCACACATGGTTTGACTTAATAGTTCTTAATATGATGCTGTAGATAGTCCTGGAATATATGGCCCACCAGCTCCAGCTGCACATAGAAAGTTGAAAATAATTTCATGAGGGCCTGTTGAAATTTTGAGTCATCAGAGTGTACAAGAGCACAAGCTGCATAAATCATGGAGTGAAAAAATATTTTTGTACGATGATTTAGAAATAATTATGGAGAATTATGTTGAAAGTAATGCCAAATTTCCTGCTCATTACCTCTAAGTAAGTTTCCAGAATAACATACTAAAGATGATGACATCTTATAAATGACAAATTCTGCAGATAAGAAAGCTCTGAAATATCCAGTTGACAGTGTTTTCCAATATTCCTCCAGAGGATAAGCAACAGACTCCTCCTGACTTAAATCAGCTTGAGTAAATTCTCTGTACTGGTTTATTGGACAACAGTATGTAACTCCGGCAGTTCAGCAGCAGTGAAGAATTGCCTGTCATTACTGCGTAAAAAAAACAGGGTATGCAGAACTCTGTGGAAACTTCAGAAACATTAATTGGGATAGAATTTCTTCCACCATATTTAGGGAATGCTTTAGCCATTAGTAAGGTAAAGCCATATTTCTGGTTTGGAATTTAATCAATGAAAGCCGTATTTGTGGTTTGGAATTTAATCAATGAGTGTGTTCTAGATATATGTGAAATTCCAACAGAATGTTCAGTCTACTTTTGTTTTGGCTTACTGATGTTAATTTATATGGTATAGTAATTCCAGAGTGATCCATACAGGTCCAGAGGTTCATCTGTGCACTGTGGTTGATTAAGTCTGTATGTATTGATGAGCTGCCTATATATTCATGTTACTGCTTCTTTTCTCACAGTGTGTTCATAACTTTAAAATATTTTTTTGCAATCGTTAAACTTTTTACATAACATTCCATTTCCTGTTCACCTACGCTATCAATTCTTATTATATGTAATGAAAATGTAATGAATCACTATAGACCTTGAATATCAAACAACATTATTTTTAGCTCCTAGTGGATTTGGCATTATATAGATTTAATAATTTAAGTGTTTTCTCCTTCTGTAACCATTTTCCTCTTTGTGCTATTTCACTTCTTTGGGCCTGCAGCTCCCTTACTTAATGCAGGAACTAGAGCACCTCTTATTCCTAGCTCTGTGTTTTCTCAGGAACAAGAGGCAGCCTTTGGGAAACATCCTTCTCTGATGTACAAGCTTCCAATACCAAGTTTCAGAGATCTTAATTAAAAATCAGTTAGTTTGTTAGAGAAAAAGTTGTCAACATAATTAGAAGAGCAGTAAAACATTGTTTCCTCAGGCTAATACCCGCAGGCCGGTATAACCTGCTGTCATCCATTTTGTCAGTGTTGGTGAAAGCATAGCAACCTCTTGATGGTTTATGCATTTGCCTGTTGTTTTCTTACTTCTGCAATTGAGCTTTAGCCGCTGTCAGAGGCGGGATGCTGGGCTAGCAGGGTCTTTGTTCAGCACAGGCACGCATGTTTTGAAGGTGTTATTTTTTTATAAACAAAGAGGAGTCCTTTTGTTTACTTGAGTTCCTTGTTTACTTCTGTGTAAGTATTTCTGCTCCTGTGCTTCTCTTTATGCAAACTAAGTTCAAAGGTGAAATGCAAAATATGTCTGGAACATGCTGCTCTACAAGTTTTTTTTTTTGTGTCTCGCTTTCAGTGATTTGTCAGGCAGTAAGGTTTTGTATTACTGTTTCAATTTTATCAGCACGAATCACACCTATTTATCACAAGTGTTAGTGCCACTTTTTTCTACCATATAAAATTTCAGACTTGTTTCTCCCAAACTCTTATTTATGTAGTAGGATCCTGAGTCCTTGGCTTGCTTCCCCAGCCTGACTAATCCACATTGTTTCTGATTTATCATTAAGACTTACTGCTCAAATATGGACAGATGAAAATGTTCTTTGTTGACACTGGTTTATGATGTTTGATACTCTATTTCACGTAATCATATTTGTTGTGATTCAGACCATGATCTCTGATGTTTGGTGAGTGCTGATTCATATTGCAGGAAAGGAATTGGAAAACATCTGTTTCTTGGATTTAC